CGACAGGGTGTCGATTTACTAGGTGCCGTGTTTCACAACTTGTTTATTTATATACGTATAGCGGATGATTTTTTAAAAAAAAAAATAGTATTTATTGATTTTCAGCCCCCAAGTGACTGTGCCTTCATCATGGTTACATGTTCCATTCTGCAACAGTGTTACAGATACGACAGTTATGCATATTAATGAGCTGACATGACCATATACGGTCATCTGTTATTTTAATCAAATATCTTGTTCAACATTGTCATAATAATACAGGATTTATCTTCCTAACTGCAACAGTGCTTGAGATATAACAGTTGTGCATATTAATGAGCTGACATGACCATATATGGTCATCTGTTATTTTAATCAAATATCTTGTTCAACATTGTCATAATAATACAGGATTTATCTTCCTAACTGCAACAGTGCTTGAGATATAACAGTTGTGCATATTAATGAGCTGACATGACCATATACGGTCATCTGTTATTTTAGTCAAATCTCTTGTTCAACATTGTCATAATAATACAGGATTTATCTTCCTAACTGCAACAGTGCTTGAGATATAACAGTTGTGCATATTAATGAGCTGACATGACCATATACGGTCATCTGTTATTTTAGTCAAATCTCTTCAACATTGTCATAATAATACAGGATTTATCTTCCTAACTGCAACAGTGCTTGAGATATAACAGTTGTGCATATTAATGAGCTGACATGACCATATACGGTCATCTGTTATTTTAGTCAAATATCTTGTTCAACAATGTCATAATAATACAGGATTTATCTTCCTAACTGCAACAGTGCTTGAGATATAACAGTTATGCATATTAATGAGGTTAGAAGCCCCCATCCCTTGGGCGTCCAGCCACAGGACCTAGCCTTGTGCCATTCAGTTGGAAAAATGTATTTCAAGATTAGAATACACATACAAATTTTCACTCCAATCGGACCAATACCACACATGTAATTGCCCATTTCCTGTTTTCACAAAATCCACAATGGCGGCCAAACCACGTGAAGGATCTAAATTTTATTTTATTTTTCATATAAAGCTATGATCAGACATGTCACATACATATGTATTTAGTACATCTGTGGATGTACCTTTGAAAAAAAAATGTCTAAACTTTTGGTCAGTTTTTCATATAATCAAAGATGGCGGCCAAAACACGTGACTGATCGAAAATATATTATTTTTCTCATATTCAGCTATGACCAGACATGTTATATGCAAAATCGGCAGTTAATTGGTTGGAGCACCATTGAGAAAGAAATGCGCAAACTTTTGGTCATTTTTGTTAATAATACAAAATGGCGGCCAAACCACGTGACCAATCAGTTTTTTGGGCTCAAACTTGAAAGAGCTAGGCATGTCAATCGGTGTACAACTTTATGATAAGAAGATTTTTAAAGGATTTAGCCTAGTTTCCGAAAAAAACAAAATAGCTGCAAAAGTCACGTGACGTCTAATGTTCTTTTACCTCATTAAGGATAGGCATGGGCTACAGGTGCAACACAACACAACACAAATTTGGACTTCCAGACTGCCAGAAAGTGGTAAAAATGGCCGCTTTTGGTTTTCACTAATTCTAAGATGGCGGCCAAACCACCCACGGGACTGATCGAAAATATAATAATAAGTGTTGCATAAGTAAAAAACTACTTCCTGAAAAAATCCAAAATGGCGGCCAAACCATGACCAATTATAATAAATTTCGCAAATTTAAATGTGCTTCATATATAGAAGCTAAATACTATATATGAGAGCATTCATTTACTTGATGGTTCTGAAGAAGAAGATTTTCGAGTGTTTTTTGCCGTTTTATTGCACATGAGTTGTACTATATGCCATAAAAAAAAAATAAGCCTAGACCCTCAGAAAGTGGTGAAATAGCCACTATCGACTTAGTTTCAATCCAATATGGCTGCCGAACCACTTGACCAATCAAAATTCTAAAAGTTAGGTGCACCAGTTCACATTAAGGACTATCAGTATAGGGCATTTCAGACCATTCCGTTCAGCCGTATTCTCAAACGAGCTGACGAAAAAAAAAAAAAAAACACAGCGGAAAGCAGAAAAACTGCAGCGGTAATAAAAGGGGTCCAGCCCTTTAAGGGCTTGCACCCCTAATGATGTTTCACCACAGTATTTTATGAAATATATATAGGGTCAAGTTAATATACTAATACTACTGTTTAATTGTTTCTTTGACCCATCCCGCAAAAGTCAAGTGGTATTGAGTGAACTTGAAATAAGAATATATTTCCTCTCTTTATCGTACTAGGATAGGGAAGCCACTTTACTTCATATAGAGTCAAGGCCATCGAAGACAATTGATGAAGTTCATGAGTTTTACATAAAGTGCGAGGCAAGAATCCACGTATGCAAGAATCTTGTAGCATCCTTGAAAGAAGTGGCAAGTCACGTGACTCTACATGACGAAAAAATTAAGAAAGACAAAAAAGAAGGTGAGTTTTCAGCAACGACATCAGCTATGTTAAATTCGATTTTTTGTGACATATATTTTATCTTGTCAAAATGTTTATATTGTGTTGTACACCGTTCCTTTGAATCGCGCCCTCCAGTGGCGGTACTTACAGTGAAATCTTTCGAAAACATATTCTTCATGATGGACGATTACAGATCAAAACGATACGACGCTTCGTTGCTAGAGGGCCACCTCTAGAGAAAAGAATTTATTTCCTCAGCATTGAATTCAAATTTTGAAACAAACTAACCGAATAGGATATTTTGATAGTTTTTGAAAACATTTGTTATTATTTTGGGCGGGAACAAAAAATATGTCGTGAAGCGGAAACAACATAGCATCCTCTTCATAGACGTTGATCTGTGAACAAAAGTCGTGAAGAGAAATTTACAAGCCTAAGAACACAAAACAAACGACTGCCAACAAAAAACAATAGCTTGAGTTAAAACTGAAGGGTCGTCACCTGCGCACGCGCGATAATTGAGTTCCAAGCGACGATAACAACGCTCGCTAAAAACGCAAAGGTTTATGGGTAGACGCCTATTTGTAAACAACGACGCGCTATGGCCGTCTGCCGCATGCGCAGGTGACGACTCCCCATCTTTAATATTGGCGGCTATAGTGTCAGTCCGGTTCTCGTAATTACAACATAGTATTTACAAAGTAGTTTCAGTACTGTCGGGTGCTAAACTGGAAGTTTTTTTACATATTTCAATCAAGATTATCTCTAACCTCATCCATTTACTTGGTAATGAAATGAACATCAGGAAAATAAACACATCAAGTTCTAAACAAATAAATAACATTGAATATAACTGTGTTAACCGTCTGTGACTTCGAATATGCAAATGAGCCATCCGCCTTGTGCATTTGTGATTCAACTCGCATGTATCGAACTGTATCATGGGATATGGCAGTAAGTTCACAGTAATAGTATCCATGTATGTTGTTTTGCTTCAGTTCCTTGGTTTCCTAAGAAGATATCAGAGCTTGATAAATGTACGCATCTTATGACTCAATATGAACCAGATTTGGATTCAGAGCATCCTGTAAGTGACCCAGTTTCACCACATATCAATGTCGGCCATTTGCATTTTTTTTTTGAACCATTAACGAATATGCTTGTTGTTGTTGTTGTTGTTGTTGTTGTTTTGTTTGTTTTTTGTTATGTTCTATCACAATGAATTCGTCCGGGAAATGACGTGTTGAATACTTTTTTCCCAAATAATTTTCCCACAATAATTAATTAGTTAACAGACAACAGGGTGTTGACATCATCTTGGATAGCGATAATATTAACTACTACTAATTAATATTAATAATTACCTGCCACATTACATGTATTCAATAATGTCAACATCGGCTGCTAGTAATATTTATATTTTTATTTTCAAGGGTTTCTCGGACAAGAATTATAGAGAAAGAAGAAAAGAAATAACAGAAATTGCCTTCAACTATAAACAGTAAGTGATTGTCATATTCTTAGTCTCACATTCATAAGTCATGTGACTTTGTTTTCGATATGCGATTGAACAGGGTGTGAATACTTGCTCGATCGCAGATGTAAGATCTTACTAAAACAATTGTATGGTCAAATATTTTAGCAATTATTATCGCAAATAGAAACCTCTGTGTGAAGGAAATACAGTTGTTAAGTCGTACGAGGCATGGCACTCTGGTTCTACGTCATATTACTATTGCATATTATTATTACGTCATCCACACCAATTATAACGAATTGTTATTTTTTTTTAGTGGACAAGTTATTCCGAGAGTGGAGTACACAAAGGAAGAAACTAAAACATGGTTAGTATTGAGACATCAGTCAGCCTGTGTGGGGTGGGGTGTCGACTGTCCGCCTGTCTGTCTGCCTGTTCGACTGCTTTAGGTTCGACTGCATGTAGTATTGCATCTTTAGATGTGTACATCAAAAGGTGTGGGACATGGAAAACTAGCTTCAAAATCCACTCACCAACGGTTTTGACAATTTTTATATTTTAAGCAGTGGGAATGACAAAATGGCGGCTTTTTACTTTTTCTGGCGTTTTGTGCCAGATGGCAGCTATTTCTAAATTACTGGAAAACATATTTTTCCTACAATACAGCATCAAGATGTTTTATGCGTGACTTGTACACCACTTCGATGTTTGAAGCGGAGGAGTCGTCACCTGGCGTAGCGCCAGATGGCCATAGCGTGTCATTGTTTACAAACAAGCGTCTACCCATGAGCCTTGGCGTGTTTAGCGTGTTTTGTTATCGTCGCTTGGGACCCAATTCCCACGCGAGCCTGTGACGACCCTTCCGCTTCAATTTTATGATTGTTTTTTTTTTTTTATATAGGCGTGTGGTTTATAGAAGTTTGAAAGAGACTTATCCAACTCATGCTTGCAGCCAACACAACAGAGTATTCAGACTACTGGAAGAACGAGGTCTTTATAGGTAAGCAAAAACAATATTTAAAAACGCTCGCTTCAGTCAACGCGCAGCGCGCGTTCGAGTTTTGTGTTTGCATGAGACCTATATCGAAGACGACGCTGAGATCATGAATGCGGTGCTTTCAAGTTGAATAGTTTTTTTTTTATTTAAAAAAAATACCGTGACAGTGATGGTGGACGCTGAACGAATTGTAATGTTATATTTTGCTTTTTTTCAGTGAAAACAAGATACCTCAACTGGAAGATGTATCAAACTTCATAAAACGTGAGTCCGAACGTCTTTAGAATTTTCTTATTTGTTACTCAATGGACCTTTGTCTGACTACGTCAAAAATTGTTCAGCCTCGTTCGCAGCCAGTAGCGCAATGATCGCTTACATCGTTCTACAAATATATATCTATCATGCCACTACATCCTGTAAAAAGTCGCATTCATTTGACACATTTTGGTGTATTCACGAGGCGGTGACCTTTGCTCTATACATTAACTTCGAACGAGGCTACAGGTTGCTACCACGCGGCTCCGGGCTTAACTCCACAGCAATCTGCTTATTCCTGGATCACTCAGTAGCGTTCAAATGTGAAAATGGAATAATGCGAAAACTATTAATTATGTTTTGAATTTATCTGTGTCTTTTCAGAGCAAACGGGCTTCCAGCTCCGACCAGTTGCTGGTCTACTATCGGCGAGGGATTTTCTAGCCAGTCTTGCATTTCGTGTGTTTCAGTGCACGCAATACATCCGTCATTCGTCGTCCCCAATGCATACTCCTGAACCGTAAGTCTTCGAGATGTCGCGAACACTCATTTAAAATTTTCTCAACATATGAACATAATGTTCTAGACAAGCCTTGGCCGTAGCATCAATTCGAAAATGTTAAGTTAATTGTACATACGCTCAACATTATTATAACTTGAATTGTTAAACGCGATATGCGCATGCGCTTGATATTTTGCTGACGTCACGATAAGTCATTTGCATACTATAATCAACTGAATGTTTCTTATTTGTCGTTACAGTGATTGTTGTCACGAGCTGCTTGGGCACGTGCCCATACTTGCAGACCCAAATTTTGCTCAGTTTTCTCAGGTAATATTTAAAATTGTTACGTCATATTCACACTCTTTAATAATGACTGAAATCTCGCGATATTCAACACGCGACCTCGTCAAAAGCATTGTTACCTTCGAGTGATCTAGTTTACAAACCTCATGAAAGGTTGTCTACAAACTCGTATCTAAGAACGACTTAAAATTAAGTGTTATACAGTTTCGTAGTCCGTGAACTATCGTAACTTAATTGAGCAAGTTTCCCCCTTTTTTACTAGCAAATTGGATTAGCTTCGCTGGGGGTCTCCGATGATGACATAACAAAATTGGCAACAGTAAGTATTTACACTCATGTATTTTAATGGATTTTATTTACTATAAACCCTAAAAAGTTTAATGTTATATGCAAGTCATGACCAAATTCTGCTCTTGTATTAGACACACATATTTGTATGTTTGCTTTTACTATACTGAGACAAGTCTCCCACGCTCGTATCATTGATATACACTATTTAAAGCGCGGTGGTCGTCGCGCAGCGCGTGTTCGTATTCCATGTAAATAAACAATATATTTTTACACGCATTGCATACGTCGCTATGAGTCCCATATTGAACAGG